GAAATAAAGAGGAAGGGAGGAGGGAGGGAGAGAGAAATAAAGAGGAAGGGAGGAGGGAGGAGGAGAGAAATAAAGAGGAAGGGAGGAGGGAGGGAGAGAGAAATAAAGAGGAAGGGAGGAGGGAGGGAGAGAGAGAGAGAAGGGAAAGTAGGAATTACGTCATAATCCTCTTTCCAATGCAGGTGATTTTAGCCAGATGGATTCAGATTGTCTGGATTTGAGATCCAGTCTGACATTAACTAAGTGTTTGGCCTTGGGCAAGTTAAGCCCTCCAGTTTCCTCATCTCTAAAATAGGGGTAGTATAATACCTCCTCTCTGGGATTGGTGTGATGGTCAAATGATGCGTGGCACAGTCAGTGATCAATTAACTTTTTTTCACTCAGGGACATCCAACAAGAAAGTCAGCCATTCCTTTGTATCTGGGTTGTGCTTTTCTTTCTTTCTTTTCTTTTCCTTTTCCTTTTTTTTTCCTTTTATAAAGACAAGCTCTCGCTATGTTGCCTAGACTGGTGTCAAACTCCTGGACTCAAGCAATCCTCCTGGACTCAGCCTCCCAAAGTGCTGGGATTACAGGCGTGAGCCACACGCCCAGCCTGTTTTACTTTTCTTTCTGAAGAAGACAATCAAAAAAGAGAACAGCTAGGCTCAGTGGCTCAGCCTGCAATCCCGCGCCTTTGGGAGGCTGAGGTGAGTGGATCGCCTGAGCCCGCGGGTTCGAGACCCGCCTGGGCAGCAAGACCTCATCTCTACAATAAATCAAAAAATCAGCCGGGCGTGGTAGCGCGCGCCTGGAATTCCGGCTACTCGGAAGGCTGAAGCGGAAGGATCACCGGAGCCCAGCAGGCGAGGCTGCGGTGGCCGGGAGCAGCCACTGCACTCCAGTCTGGGCGACAGAGTGAGACTCCAACTCAAAAAAGAAAGAGAACACACCATAAAGGTAAGGTGGTCATCATTGATTGAAAATAAATTTAAAATATAAATGCAAAATTTTTAGAAATCTAATAAAATCTATATTTAAAAAGAAGTTTAAAATTATAAAAATGTATAGGGTATACAGTAGTTATCAACACATAAGCCGGTATTTGAAATACTTACTTTTAGTTGGTGTGCTTTGGGTGTTCTCATGACATTAGAGGCCAAAGCTAATGAATTAATGGACACACAGCAGAGCTGACTGAAAACAAAAGTTGGGAAGAGTTTAAGCCAAATCCTAGAAATCAATTTTAACATTTTAAAGATTGAAAAACCATCCCAGCATTTGTAAAAATAATCTTTTCCCTTCATAAATGTTTTTAAATGAATAATAAGGATGAACAGACAGAAGACTGTAAAATCTTCTTAAGACCTGCGGCGTCTTGCCCTGGTTCTCCTCCCACCCATGATCCTCCCCAGGTCACTTCAGATATCCTCCTTCTTCGCAGCACACATTTGTCAATAGCTGGTCCCATGTCCCCAAGCTGTTCCTTCCAGCCTTCCTTCCTCTGTGGTCACCTCTAGAACAACTCTGCCTTTTCAACAAGATCAGCAGTGCAGAGTGTCCCGAATAACTTGCAGATTGAATAAAGTATTAAGAGTGTAATTTGTGTCAAAAAGGAAAAGGAGGAAGAGAAGAAGAGGAAAGGTGGGAAGGAGGGGAGGGAGGATGGGGAAGGCATGTTATCTTAGGGCAGATTCAAGGTGTTGTCTAATCACTCCAGTGCAGTCAGCTAGAATTTTTTTGAGAACCATGTTACAGCTGGGATGCTGGAAACACACTGGAAAGTGTTGTTTAAGTGATTTAGGCACACTTCTAAACAGCCAGGATACTGGTGGAAAGCTAGAAAAGCAAAAGGTGGTATGGGCGAGTTCCCTGAAGATCCTTGAGGAGAGACTCCGCGAACTGAGTTAGGGTAGCTGGTTTGCAGTCTAGCTGGAGGGAAGAGAGTCTGCAAGACAGCAGGACAACTTGAACGAACAGGACCTGAAACCAGAAGGACTGAGATGAGGGTTGTTGCACGCAGGGCTGGCTGCTGAGCCGCTTCATAGGCCCTGAGGTAACTCTGGTGCCTGCCCACCACGCCTGATCGGTGATGCCACTCCTGCCCAGTGGCTGTGCCAAGAACTGCCCTCAGTTCTTTTAAGCCTGCCCTGGGGAGGGAATGAAGGGCAATCTCTGGCAGTGGTAGTGGTCTGACTTGTGCTGGTAGGTTCCCGAAAGAGGAGTGTCCCAACTTTGGTCTGTGGCCTTATAAAGAGGCACTCCAGGCAGTACTTAGTGCCCGCCTAATTCAAGCCACTCTTCAGCTGCAAAGCATGAATTATTTACACATTTCATGGTGGCCCTACTCCCTCTCATTAAAAGCAGAAACTTTCTTATTCCTTGTACAGCTTTGTCAACACCCAGCTAAATTCCTGGCACGTAATAGGCTCTGTACTAAAGTAATAAACATAAACTGCCCTTTTCTTTTCTTTTTCTTTTTTAGAGCCAAAGTCTCACTCTCACCCAGGCTAAATTTCATTAGTGCCATCACTGCAGCTTTGAACTCCAGGGCTCAAGAGATCCTCCCACCTCATCCTCCCAAGAAGCTGGGACAAACAGGTACACACCACCAAACCTGGCTATTTTTTAAAAATTTTTTTGTAGAGACAGGATCTCGCTACATTGACAGGCTGGTCTCAAACTCCTGGGCTTAGGCAATCCTCCTGCCTCTGCCTTCCAAAGTGCTGGGATGACATTCATGAGCTACTGCACCTAACTAAAGCTATTGACTAAAAGGAGGTGAGTCAATGACCAATGAGCCCCTACTCTATGCCAGGTTCAAGGAATACCCCAGCAACTCAGCACCCTCAAATCTGTTTTTTTTTTTTTTTTTGAGTTGGAGTCTCACTCTGTTGCCCACTCTGAAGTGCAGTGGCATGCTCACAGCCACCACATCCTAGACCTGCTGGGCTCAGGTGATCCTTCTGCCTCAGTCTTCCAGGTAGGTGGAACTACAGTCATACACCACCACATCCAGCTAATTTTTTGATTTATTGTCGAGATGAGGTCTTGCCAAGTTGCCCAGGCTGGTCTTGAACCCCCGGGCTCAGGCAATCCTCTCACCTTGGCCTCCCAAACTGGTAGGATTGTAGGTGTGAGCCACTATGCCCAGCTCAAGTCCATTTTTATGAGCATGTGTCGTGTGAGGATGATGGTCCAGAAGCATCCGCTGAATCCACACGAGTTAATAAGAGCCTAGATGATACAAGCTGTGTAAAGAGAAAACCAGTGCCAAGCACGGTGGCTCATACCTGTCTTCCCAGCACTTTGGGAGGTCGAGGCAGGAGGATCACTTGACCCCAGGAGTTCGAGACCAGCCTGGGCAACATAGGAAAACCTTGTCTGCAAAAAATAAGAAATTAGCCAGGCATGGTGGTGCACGCCTGTAGTCTCAGCTACTCAGGAGGATGGTCTGAGTTTAGGAGGTGAAGGCTGCAGTGAGCCATGATTGTGCCTCTGCTTTCCAGCCTGGGCAACAGAGTGAGACCCCAACTCAAAAAGAGAGAGAGAGAAACTAAATCATTTGGGGTAAAGGGGGTGAGGCAGATGTATGTGTGGGAAGGGGTGTGGGGATGAGATGGTTGAAGGGGGAGTAAGATTTCGTGGTTCTAAAATAGTCTCTACCAACCCACTAATTATACATAGTGTCTGAAAATGCCAAAGTTGTTCTC